AACCAGAGCTATCATTTGCAGCTGAAAATAGTCACATTTTGATTTTTCACACCTAGTGAGGTCCTCTAGGGGGAAGACGATGCAGTCCCATGTAAGGACATGTGTCCCCTGTGTAACACAGTGAAATGTTTGAGTTGGTCCCAACAGAGTGACCTTGTTTGAGGTCATTGGTGGTGGGGCAGAGGAGGGGAGGGAAATATATCAGCTCACAGTGGAGATCAGCCCAGGTCAGCTGCAGGGGCTCAGTGAGGAAAATGGGCAGGAAGTGGATGCTGAGTGAGGAGGCTGCAGTGAGGTGCCTCACACAATGACGATGTGACCATCAGCTTGCATGATGAGCGTTCAGACTTGTCCCTTTGCCGGGCTGCTTTTCCCATCCTCTCTGTACTCCTGCAAGCGTCCTGCTCTCCCAGTGAAAACCTTTGTCATCCATTTGGGATTTCCATCTAGATCATCACTGTGTTGCTGTGTGCTGCTCAGCTCCAGGGTAAAAGGCTGCACAGCACTCACTGCTCCTCAGAGACTGCACACATGCTCTGCCAAGCCAAAATGCTGAACACCAGGATTACTCCTGGCTCAAGGTCCTACACATGGCAGCAGAAAGTTTCACCTTTCCACTGCAAGATTTCATTTCCTGTGCCAAGCCCATGACAGATGCCACGTCAAACATCTAAATTCTCCTTTAGGAGTGTTACTTTTTTTTTTTTTTTTAAGTGCCATTTCTAGGAGGTAGGAAGTTACAGACTGCTGTCTGGTTTGCTGTGTGTATATTTTTGAAAATGAATGAAAAATGTTCTGGATGGATACAGAGTAACAATATGTAAGCCTGAGGCATCAGATGGTTAGAAAGCTGTATTCTGTGTGTGTGCACAGATGTAATTCACTGCAAGGAATATGTGACACCACACAGCAGTTCAAAGTAGCAGGCTGGTACTAATTACTGTGCTCTTAATGACTTCATCCATCAAACCGTAACATATTCTATGATTATACAACTCGGCCATATGACAACCAAATGCCCAGACGCTCTTTTGTATGAGATGGTTACACAGCAAAATTCTCTGCTGATTACAACAGAAAACTTCAAAAAAAGTGCACTTTAAGTCATCTGAGCCCTCAGAATTGTTTTATTATACCCTTTTGTGAGGGGGAAATAAGGTAAACCATTGAGGGTCTGTGAGGAGAGAGATTGCACAGAGATAACCCAGAGAGGCTCTGGTGGGGTTTGCCATTTTTCATGCAGGTCTGGAATACTCACAGCCTGTGACCTGGACCATTTGAGGACACAAAGTGAACATTCTTTGGCCTAAAAGAGTTGTGTTTCCCTACAAGGACAGCTCAGTGGTGTGAGCAGCACCGGGCTGCAGCCAGGACAGCTGAACCACAGGCCAGCTGTGGCCTCAGCATCCTCACAGAGCACAGTTGTGGAGAAGATGAAGTTTGTCTGTGGCAGATCCTGAAATTTCCCACAGCTGTGTCACGGCTTTCCCAGGATCTGGGCACCATCACTGTTCACACCACCTCCATCTGCAGGAATACATCCCATGCCTTGGCTTTTTCTCTCTCTAATATGATCACACTTAGCACATCTACCATCAACAGCCACCGTCGTCCCCAGCAAAACAACACACTCCAGTGCACACACTTCTGCCCTGGGCAGAGGGTGTGAGATCAAACTCTGCAACAGATCCTGTTCTCACTGCTGCCTGAGCTTGAAAAGGTGCTCTGATGCTAGAGCAGAGGAAAGCAGGGCTTGGCCCCCAGATTTCTGCAGTCTTTACTTCATTCCCTCACGAGATCCAGTCCTTTCATCACTTCTGCCCACACAGTAACACCCTGCTCAGTAGTGCAGCATAGATGGAGGTAAGTGTAGTTCATCCACTCATTATTTGTACAATGCTGACTTCACCCATTTCCTGTACACATCAAAAAAGTGAGTTTCCCACATTTTCATTTGCTATTTCACCACAGTTTTTCTTCCAGATTGCTGTGGAGGGTGTTATACACCAATGTAAACAATAAAACTGTGGATAATATGGAATTTATCAGGATGAACAACTTATTTCCAAGCTAATAAACTGTGAAGTTAACATTGCACAGATACCCCGCAACAGACACCTGCAAGGCCTAGAGCTGTGTGCTGGCTGCCTGGCTGATGGAGGCTGTGGTGGGTCTGGATGCACTGAGCTCTCCTGTCTATCCATCACAACAAAGAGGAAGGTTTGTTCCCACTTTTCAAGCTTAACTTGCATGTCAGATCCAGAGGGCTAATCTCCCTAGAGATCCTTTCTGTAGCTGAATGAGAGAACACTGAATAGGTGAGCCAGCTACCTCTCCTGTGCAGCCCTAAGCCATGCACTGCATGTGCTCATTTGCAACATGTAAACACAGGAATGTCAAGCATCATATCTATTAAATAGCATGAGAAAACAACAGGTTTAGAAAAAAAAGTGGTCAGGAGAAGACCAGAAGGCATCAGATTGGTTCTTATATCCCAGCTCAGCAGGAAATTACTGAACTTCAGAGACCAGGTTTTGTCCCTAATTTGGAAGATTCAGATTCTGGGAAGGATTCTGACACAGACCAGTCAGGCAAGCTGCACATGTAGTCTCCAAGAAGCATTAAAAAATGCAGCTGTCTTGCAGGATACAATAGTCTTCAGCATAATATATGCCACATATTATCAGGGTCATAGGCACAACACTAGTTCAACAAATGTTATCAATCAATTGCTTACTTTTCCAATCCATGGGTTTTTACATAGATATTGATGACTTTTCAGCAACTTCACCCAGACATCTGCACTCCTGATTCAGAGATGCAAGTTCCTCATCACACAGAAACAATCAAATGGCTGAACCAGTATAAAACAGAGACTTTATTCCAGGAAATCGCTTTATTCCAGGAAAAACATTTTGTCCTAAAAATGGACAAAATGTACAGTGCTTGTTCCTGTTAGAGTTTCCTAAATCTTCAGAGTATTTCACAATTTAATTGTTGGCATAAAACTTGTCCTTCATAAGTCTGGAAACAAAAATTTTAAGTGCCTTTATTCTAGCAGTAGATAGTGGGAATGTTTACCTCTATAGGGCTTTTTTGCAAGATTAAAAAAACTGTTGAGAAAGAGCTACATAAAAGAATTTTACTAAATCAGTTTTTACATTTTTGCTAAGTGTGACAAGGCCCAAAACTCATCTTGGTGGCACTTCTGCTCTGATGTATGACACAAGGCCTTCAGAGTGCGGTCACTGTGCTTTCCTTTCCTATCTCCACATGTCCTCTGGCAGCATTAACTGCAGAGCCTCTTGGAGCTCCTTGACCACAGAGACCACACTCTGCTGCACTGCCACCTTTCCTGGCTGTCCAGAGCTTCAGCAGGATGGTTGCATATTCCAGACCTCCTCTCCTCCTTCTGACTGCCAGCTGTTTTCTGTGGTTGTGGGGCACAGAGGCTGTTGGAGCCCTGTTGCCAGAAGGGTCTTGTAGCACCTTGGTTTGTCTACAGAGTTTAAGGCCACTGCACAGTTTGCTTATGGCTCTTCTGGTTAAAATACATGGGGCAAGAGAGGCATCTCAAGGAGCTGTTGAAAAGATAGGGTAATGAAATAACATCTCAAAAAATTTCCTTCTTTTTTTCCCCATTTATTTTGCCCCCACCCCAAGCCATGCCCTGCACAGAACAGGGCACTTCTTGAGCCCCATCATTTGCTGTCAGGTGGCCATTTATTGCCACATGTCACTGCCTGCCTGTAGCAGCTTCTCACTCCTGTACCCACAGATCTTCCTGATCAGGGATTTTGTCAGAAGTTTAAATGACTGAAGTCAGCGTATCTCTCCTCCTACGTAGCGTCCTGTTGATGTGACAGAGCAGATCAATACACACAAGCTCAGGAAGAGCTGTTTGCACCTAGAGGAGTCAGCATGGTTAACCACAGTGACCTGTTTCTGCACAGGAACAAAGAGCTGCCGTCTCACACCAGGCCACCAGCCAGCCCGGCAAGGTGACACGCTGCCAGCCCAGAAAGGGCAGTCCAGGCAGTGCCAGCTCTGAAAGGAAGGAAAGAAGTTGCACTTGCAGTATATGGAGGCCACTGGCACCTGAGGAGGCACTGCCAGGTGCCACCAGCTTCCTTCTGCCTAACTGCAAGTCTGCAGCCTCTGAGAATTCTGCATCACTTGCTGTTCTCTGACATGGACGTGAGGAGTTTCACGCTTGAATTGGATTTTTCCTAGGCTTATCCTGCACCTTGACTTTTTTTGCATTCTGTGCCTGAGCAGTAGCCAGCAGAACAGGGAACAATTGCCTGTGAACAGGGGTCTCTTCTGCCTGTGCCAACTCACTGGAGCTATGTGCTCTCTTTGATGGTTTGCACCAGGCCAGCAAAGCCAGGGGTTCACTGCTGTGTGGTTTTTGACATGAAAGGAGATGGTTAAGGTCAAGATCTCCATCAGTCAGTGGTTTATATTTCATATTGTGCCATGGGGTTGGTTTTTACACTCTCTAAGGCCTTGTACACTGTTGAAAAAATTATATTCCACTGCCACTTCTTTAGCTGACCTTGGCAATAGGCTGGGCACAAATTACATTCTGCACCTCCCCAAACATAGTCTGTGTCACTCAAAACCTTGCAGGTTTTTCAGCTCCCCCAGCATTTTCCTCTTTTCTCTGCCGATTGCTCATCTATGTCCCGCCTTTACCTCAATCAGTGCTCACTGGGCTCATTTACATCTACTCTCGTTTTCTAATGAACAGATGAACAGAAAGAGGAAAGTGTTCATAGAAGGTCCCTCTAGCTAAATATTCTTTATTGCTCTGATTCAAAAAAAACCAATTTACCCTGGGAGTTTTTTCACAGCTTGCTTTGCTGGGGGTTTGGTTCAATTGTTTCATAAATCATTAATCCAAGCTAGTAAGTCCCTCTGCCTACAAGGAAAGCAGCAGACGGTCCTCTGGGACTGCTGCTCTCCACTGGGTTTCTTTATCTGAAAAAAAAAAAAAAAAGGAGGAAAAGAGTTTCAAAGAAGAGACTGCTACTGGGAAAGCACCAAGATAAAAAAGGAGGACCAAGGACAACTGGAAAGAATTACCTCACCCTGCATCCTGCATGTGTCATCGCTCGCCCTCCACACCTTACCTCTTGTTACTCCACACCAACCTTTTCCTCTTGCTCCCAGCACCAGTGACTCCTCCATTCCGCTGGCATGGAACCTACTTGCACTCAGCCTTTTTATATCTTTCCTAAATCAACCAACAAGGCTTCCCCCTAAGAGCCCATCAGGACACACAGTGTTAAGGACATTTCTCAGTTCCCAGTGTCTTCCCAAGGCACCCACAAACCCTTTTTGCCCAGGTTCATAGTGAGTAAGTGGTCAGAAAAGTATAGACATTGTGAAGTAAGCTGGAAACCCATGAAATGGACCAGAAGGGTGAAAGATGACTCATTAGTCAAACTAGATATAGCTCTCTATGCTTTTCAAAAAAGAGATTAGTGGGAGTGCTCTCAACACTTTCAGTCAGTCTTAAAGAAAGACATCATGATATTACATCAGCAACATGTTTACTTTATTTCAATTATCACTACCCAAAGAATAGTTAATCACACATGAGAAGACAGTGTCAGAGGGAAAACATTTTCTATAAAAAGCCTGTTTCATAATAGGTGACTGTTTTATCTTTCCTGCCTATGGGAGATGATGAAAAGGAGACTCATCACCAGCCACACTGTCTCCAGCATGACAGGTCAATGTACAGGTGGTATTTCACTCCACTTAGGAGAATATTCATATTCATCTCTAGCATAGAAGGACGTGAAAGAACTTTGGAGGAAATTCATGGAATGCCAGGCAATGATATCATGGCCCAAAGGGAGGAGCACTTTTAAGACTAAAAAAAATAGGCCCCAAGAATCAGAAAACACTTAGCAATCTGCCCTGCTTCCACACCTTGGAAGATCTTGTTCTTGATCCACAGGTCATTCCTTCTTTCCTTGCCTTCATTCCGCAGTGGCATCTCCTCTCTGTCCTCTCCCATGAGAGGACAAAGCCCCGTCAGACTGTGCAGGACTAGAAGGAAGTATGTGATCTGTAACCAGTGCCCCTATTTTCCGGAGTTCAAAGGGCACTTTAAGGACCTAGTGGGTGTCCTGCACCTTAGAAAATGGCTCCTTTCAGAGTAATTCTAACAGGAAATTGTATCATCCAATGGACCTGGACTGGAGGCTTAGAATCAGCAGACCTGAACTCCACAATTAATTTACTAAGTACCAAGCATCAACTCTGGAGCCAAATTTCTTTGTCTAAAAACTGTGACTGGTGACTTTATGTGTTCAAAGTGCTTTGAGTGCTGTTAATAAAAGGGATATTAGGGAAGCAATTGCTGTTCTTACATCCAAATCCATTTCCCTCCTCTCCTCCCATCTGAACATTTCTTTCAAATTAACACATTTTTCTAGACTCCATTGGGTAACACTTTGGAGTGGATTAGTAGGGAACTTGACAAGAAGAAAGCAGAGAACCTACTGCCATAAAACACAGCAGGAGAACAGAGGGTATGTGCTCTTCTTGGTTTTTTCCTTCCTGACTCAGTTACTTATGGAAAAATGTGGGGTGGTGTGCAGGGGATCTGAGGAGAGAAAAAAGTCATCATGAAATGACAATACTCCTGAACAGGAATAGCACTGTGGTATTTATTTAATTGAAGCTGTAGGCAAATGCAGATTCAGAAGAAACAGGAACCACAGAGACGATTTGGTTTTGAAAATTTTGAAACCCTTGCTGGCAAATAAGTTTGGGGGCTGGGTTGGGTTGTTTTTTATTTTTCATTTGTAGTTTTGCTTTTTGGCATTAACTTGGTCTCACAATCACTGGGATGGTAAAAAATTATTGCAGAAGGATCTCAGTTTGGGCTTCTTGGGTTTTATATGCACAATGCCTAAATGAGGAGCTATGTGCTGTGACAAATGCCTCGTGCATGCCAGCTGACTTAGAAAAGGTGACTTGGAATTTTTCAAGTTCAGTATTTTTATTCTTTTTACAGTTCTCTGTTCTTATCTTCTCCCCCTCAGTGTATTTCCTGTTTCCTCATCCTGTAATAGTTATGTACACTCAAATGGTGGATCAAACACCTTTTGAGCTGCTGTTGTCAAGTTTCATTAACATTTCTCACATCGTTTCCTGTTTTGATACTGATACCCCAGCAAAGTCTGCATAAGTGGGCAATGTGGCTGATCAATACCTCCCCTGAACTGCTGGCAGATCATTCTCCTCATAGAGCATCGTCCATTCCCAAACCTATTAAAATGCTGGTACTGCAGCCATAAACTTAGAAGACATTGAAGGAAGCATGTCCCCCATAACCAACAGAATTCAGCCAGCTTTGAGAGAGATGCAATAAACTTTAAATACATAAATATAGCAAGACTGAACATGGACCTAGGCCAGGCAGTAGCAAAGGAAGTTGCATGTGCCAAAACACAGGGGAGGTGTATGTTGGTAGAAAGATGTTTCTCATCCTGGTGTAGGCATTATGCATCCCACAAAAAAACTACAAAAAAATGTCTTTTTTTTTTTTTTGTGTAGGCTGCAGCACCTCAATACCAAGTCCCATTTCTGAGACTACACTTCTGGTACTGCTGTGTCCCAAAGAGCACTGGAGACAGGCACTAATAAATTTAAGAGAAGAAATAAAATTTCCACTGACTTCAAAGTCACAACTGCAAGAACAAGACTTGTGCTTGCAAGCATCAAGGTTTACTAGCACAACACTTGGCATGCAAGATGTCCCAGTCTATGAGTATGCAATGCCTTAGTAAAACTGATTGACTAAATCAGCATCAAGCAGTGACTTTATGGAGGTTTGTACATTGGTCTCCCATATAATCCCCCTGCAAAATACGGCAATATTTTTCCACAGAAACAAAAAATATGTGTGTCAGTAGGAGGAAACAAATCTAGTGCTCTTTGTTAGCCAGCAATATTAAAAGCAGCAGACACATCAAGGCACATTCAGAATATGTCAGACAGTGACTGAAAGCAGTAGGGAAAAAAGCCTGTGTTCTCCCACATCAAGCTTCAACAGGGTTTGAGGGAGGGGAGTGGAACTTTAAATGGTTTGATGATTAAAAAGAAGCCAAATCACAAGAGAAAGCCATTTCAGAAAGCCATTTCAGATGCAGTATATTTGTGTTTCTAACCAAAAGTCTTTGTTAAAAAAAAGGAACAGAGAAGTGTGTTTTTCACAATTTTCTCTTTGGTGTTTTGCTAAGTCTGTTACTTCACAGGATGTTCTATTGTCTTCACTGCCACGATGCACAGAAATACCCTGCAAGCCACTGTGGGTTCTGATAAAGTGTCTGGGGACATGAAAGAAGTGTTTTGCTTTTAATACCAACAGACTGAAAATCAATATTTCAGAGCTTTGCCACCCACACCTGGCAGGCAACCTTCCCAGTTCAATAAGATTTAAAAGTTAAGGAGGAAAGCCAGTAAGTCCACTGCATCCAGATGCAGATTGGTGTTTGTCAGACTCCTGAAATCTACTTCCTAAAGAAATCTCAAGAATTAACTGTAATTGTGTTCTTTTTTGGTGCTTTCTACAAACCTAGGTGGGGTGGAAAGAGGATCATTGACTTTTCAAGCTTTTATTTACCCTGCTGGAGCCCATTTATTTTTCAAAAAAAATATTCACAGCCAGGGTTACTGTGTGGTCAGCTTCTAGGACTACAAGAAAAAGCAACAAAACTTTTCTGGAAAAGCTGTCAGCGCAGTCCTGGGACTCCACCAGGATCTGCAGCAATCATGTCTTTGCTCTGGTAACCTGAAATGAAGGCCCAGCATCAGAGAGAGAGAAGCCCATACCCTGTACCATATAAATCAAAATCCCTTTTTTCTTCATACCTCAGCAGGACCTGGATTTCCCCATTCCCCAAGAAACATGGTCCTGAAGCAGTGGTAGGTAGGAATGGGAAAAAGTCGATGTCCAAAGATGTGGGATTGCACTGCAAGAGAAGGAGCAGGGTTAGGGTGACTTACCTGCACTGAGACCTTTGGCCAGCATTTGTCTGTGCATCTGTCTGCAAAGGGCAGCTTAGGCCAAAGTGGGCATTTCCACCTGGGTGCCTTTGGGAAAGTAAGAGCAGCAAACCCTGCTCACATAAGGCTCCCTCTGGAACAAAAAACAAGAGGTCCTTATGAAGAATAATTTCAACAGCCCCTTGAAGATCCAAATCTACCTTCATGGACATGTCCTTCCCCCTACCAACTGGCCCATGGATTGTCTGGGATGAACCCAGCCCAGAGCTTCCCCAGGGTGCAGGAGCCTGAAAGAGCCAGGCTGGGCAGCCCAAGAGGAAGTTCAGGAACCCCAAGTATTCTCGGAGACACCAGGATGCAGATGAGATGAGGCAGGGGCTTCTGGAAACCCTATGTGTGAGAGCTACCTCAGATCTCTGCACTAACAGCAAAGTCACCATACCTCAGTTTCACTGTGGAAAGGAGCCAGCCTGTCTGGAAGAGCAAATTCTGGAGAAGACAATCTAACACAACGTAGACCCAGCCATTATCATCATGCAAATGTGCTTCTGCTCATACAAACCCATCCCAGGGCACACTCTCACACAAGCATCCCCACCAGTCCACTGACCCTAATTTCCACACCATGCCTCTAAATATTACAGCTTTCTTAGCTTGTGGCAGGTCTTTTTCCAGAAGCCACCTGGCTCAACATGTTCCTGCAGCCATAGAGCCATCCCTCACCTGCAACAGACCCTATGGCAGACCTTGCTTGTCCCATGGCAGGACCCCATGCTTGTCCTTCTCCCTGTCCATGCCCATGTACCCTAAAGCACACTCCAGTTTGGAACATTGAAGGTACAACAAATCTCACAAAGAGGGGTGAAATGAGCCAAAGTGTCAAAATAAGAACTCTGTGTGAGCATGGTTACACCCAGCTTTGAGGCAGTTAGCTTTGGCAAGAGGGAGTTAAAGGTATGGGAGGAGGTTAGTCCGTGTCATAAAATGTCAGTAAGCTTTTTATACAACCACCAGAAAAAGGTTTTTTTGGGTTTTTTAACACCTACGGAGTCTTATACGTTGTCTTTTAGTTGCCCCAAAAATTCCCCTTAGCACTTTTATCATTCAGCATCACTCCAGAGTTTAGTCAGCCAAACCATACCCTTTCCCAGTGTTAGATAAATTGCATCTTGAAAACAGCACAGACACTAATATCACATCGTCCTAGAGCTGAGCCACACGTGAAATCTCTATCCTGTTTTTCTACAGAGATGAGTAAGATTTTCCTGTGTAATTAATTTATAATATCTTTCTGTGCATTTGTGTAAATATATAGAGCAAAGATACCACTGCAAAGATAACGATTTGCCAAAGCGCTTTTTGCATTCTTTCAAATGTGGTGGTTTTACTTGCAGTTTACAGCATTTTAGTCATGTTTTGACATTTGAAGAATTTTCACTGAAAACAGACCTTGTACCAATAACAGAACCAGACTTAAAACTCGTAGTAATAAGGAGCAGCAGTAAACAACAGATGCACTATTTATTGTATGTGTTTATTATGTATTAATGGAATAGAGCATTTAAGTAAAATTGTAATATTTCCAGAGTTGAATTAATGAGGCTAAAACACATTATTTAAATAACTTTCACATATTTAATAGTGAGAGTAATTATCATTGTTGCATATTTTTGGACAGATCTCACCATTTTTAAACCTATCACCTTCTTAAAGACAAGACGTCTACTCCTCTAAGTCACTCATATTGAGGAAGGCTGCAAATTCTCTAATAATATCAAGATTAAAATAATTTTCAAAAACAAAAGAAAACAAAGTCCTGGTTGAAAGAAGCCCATTGTTGTCAGAACTGCAAAGAATTGGGAATTTTTCCAGTTTGGGATTCAATCCTTATTTAACAATTCAGCAATTCTTTTAAAATTATCAAGCAGATCAAAATAATACATTTATCAAGTGTTTTTACAGAATAAGAATTTCTTCATGATAAGCTATGGAGACTTATGAAACAGCATGTTCTTGAGAAAAAGAACAGGAAAAAATTAATGAGTGAGTAACAAACAGGGAGCATGGAAAGACTAGACCATGAGTAAAATATGGACAGCTGGCCCTACCTGCACTTGTTGGGTTTGTACAGGAGGCATTTTTTCAAACACATTAATTTCTAGTGGGAGGCTTTTCATGTTACTTTTGCTTGGACTCTCCCAGAAATGTGATGCTTCTGATCTTTTGCAGAGTTAGGAGTGGTTTTTATGCACCATCTGAAGCACTGGAGCAGGGAAGGTGACAGGGAGACTGTTGGCTGCTGACATGACCAAGCCATGCTCACACAGAAAAACATTAACTCAGCTCCACGTCTTTGAGCACATCTAGCACAGGCCTTCCTCCTCTTCCTTCCCCCTTTTAGCTGCCTTTGTGCCTCCCAGCTTGAAGTTTTCGTATTCAAAACAAGGCTGCTTGCAGTCGCAGCTGCATCTGCAGTAAGCGTGACACCTGCTCCCAGCAGTGCCAGCCCTTTGCCTGCTGTCCTTTGGGTGGCCTTCTGCAGAGCTGTACTGCTCCAGCTTGTGTTTATCACCATTTACTAACTGCTGGGCACATTAAGGTGGCACAGTTTACTAAGAACAGCTTTCTGTTTTGCTCTAAAATCTGAGCAATTACAGCAAGGGAAACAGTTCAGCAACGTACCATTGCCTTGGTTCTTACCCTGTGTTCCCACCTTTTTAGGATTCTTTTAATTTCTGAGCAGACTCAGGCACCAAACCACCTGTGAGCCCTATGGCTGCAACCCACGTGTGCCAGAAGGTCACCCTGTCCCATGGCACGCTGCAGCTGGGAATACCCCACCAAGGGCATGTTCAGGCATGAAATCTGACCAGACAGGCCAGAGGAGTATGGTGCGGAAGGAAAAAGGGAAAGGGCATTTCCCAGGAAAGGCTAGGCAGTTTGACTTTGCCAGCTTTGCTCTGAATAATTAGCAGTGCCTGGGAATGTTGGCCATGCCGTCAGCAGGGCGTTGTCTGGTTACGCACTCTGAGTTGTCTCCATGTTTGCCAGCAGCATCCAAGACCCCAGTGCAAGGCTCTGCTCTCTCACACATGGTGTGGGGCTGTGGCCCCTCTGTGAGGCCAGACCCTGCCCCAGAGCTGGGCACAAGAGCAGAGCTCTCCAGGCAGGGCAGCCAGCAGGGCGTGAGCCGGCACATGGAGCACCCACTGCCCTCATGGCACTGGCACCTGTCGTCTCATCTGACAAACTCTGCCTGTGCAGAAAGGTCAAATTCAAAGGCTAAAGTAAAAAAAAAAAAAATCATTTATTTCAGAAACACATTTCTGAATGTTTCCTATTCTCCTCCCCCACCTCAGCAGAGCCCCATTTTCAGAACTCGGGTGTGAGAGAGGTCCCGTTCAGTGGGACCTGCTGCAAGCACAGGCACAACACAAATGTCTTCTCAATGAACAGCATCTGCCCTACTTGCACCACACTGTCACACAGTCAGAAGTGTCTGTGTCATACAGAAACTAGGTTAAATGAAAAGGGTGTAGCTCTGTGAACCTTGATTTCAGCATTGTTTTTCACCTTCTGGGTCAGGAGCTGAAGGTTTTTATCCATTCTTGTACAGATAGGAGAAGATCCATAGGAGGTTTGCCTGAGAAAGAGCTAAGGCAGGAAATAGGGATTTGAGCCTGCTGCTGTGAGGGGAAAAAGACCCCATCCTGAAAAATAAGCCTCATCATTCTCCAAGTGCTACTGTGTGTGCATGTTTTATTGTGTTTTTAGCTGCCCCACTGAACCCAGCCTTCCCAAACGATGCATTGGAATGTCCAGCTGTGAAGCTGTCGATACCCACCTTTCCAACTACTCCAAGTCTCCTTGTCAAAATAAATATTTGAAATGACAAAGAAGTTAGCACATTGTGCTGGGGGTAGGCAATTCCCCTGCTGGTGTGGACACACTCCCCATCCCATGCCCCCAAACTCTCACCTGTCCTCTCTGCCCAGGGACAGGGACCACCTTTCCAAAAGCCACTATTCACAACCTCCAGGGGCAAGACACACACTGACATTCAAAAATACTGTTGTGTTAGAAGTTGTGGGAGAGACATGAGCAACCTGAAGCACAACTCTGGGCAGGTTACTCATGACTAACTCCTACATGGACCACATCTCACTCCACAAACATGGGGCAGGGGCCCAGGCTGTGCTTTCACAAGCAGTTCAGCTCAGCAAGACTGAGAAAGTCTGCTTAACTTCTCTTGGCAACAAATCAGCACACAGCTTTCCCAGGTGATGTCATTCCTCCCATGCTTCAGCAATTGCTATTTATACTGGGAGAGGAGGAAGAGGGGGCTCATGCAGTCCTGGTCTTGTCTTTAAAGGGGATATTGACCTTAAAAGGTGGTCTAAGGTTTAGCTAAACAAAATTTCATCTATGAGACATCAGGACATACTCTCCCAATGAGCTTTCAAGTGGTGGACACAAGTCAGGTCAGTAAGCTGGTTTACATTGTTTGTAAACTCAGGTTTTATTACAGGTAAGGTATTTAAATGCTGTTTTTTCATGTTGAGTTCCAATGACATTATGCTGCAGTACTTGCTTTTCCATATGTATCCACAACGTGGCTATCAGCACCAATTGTGGTTTTCATGGCCTGGGTTACAGCTTGTCTTTGTTTTTCTCCTCCAATCTGTGCTCACTAGTACTGGTTACTGAAAAACAAGCCCATTAGCAGATTCAGAACATCCTCTCATCTCTGTACCTTCTTTTCCTTCCTGGAAACCTTCTACCAAAATGCTTCTTAATACATCTAGAGAGCAAGAGGAAAACTGCGGCGAGGTGTAACGGGCCTTCTAGGTCAGAGTCCAGCTAGCTGAGGTTAAGGCTGACACCCAGCTGCAATCCTGCCAGCACCCCTCGGCATTGTAAGGCCTCGGGCTGTGCTGGTTGTGGACTGGATCGCTGCTAAACAAGAGAAGGAAGGAGCTGGACCCTCACTGGGGGTGAAACAGGTTTATTGGAAAGCCCACAATGCCAGCCAGGGAGGGACCCCCTGACGGTACCAGCGAATGACCCAGAACAAAAGGTGCATCAGGGTTATAAAGGGAAGGGGTGGATCCGGGAGGGGTTTACAAAAGACCA